CCCCACACACACACACACACATATATATATATATATATATATAATTTATTTATTAATTAATATATACAACGGGTACGGGTTAGGGCGGGGAGTACCATACCCGTCCCCATCCCCAATCTAGCGGGGAATCCCCGTCCCCCACTGGGGCGGGTGGACCGGGTTCCCCGACAGGTCGGGGCCCATTCCCATGCCTAGTGTCTTTTGGTTTAGATATGGCTACGGATAATTTTTTTTCAATGGAACAAAAATGTTTGTTTAATCGTAATTTTCAAGATTTATTTGATTATTACAAACACTTTTACGGAGTAGGAAACCAACAACAAACTCTTCAAGTCGTGGGTTTGCGGGGTCTAGTTCTTCTTCTAGTAGTCATCAACCAAGTCGGAGATAGTTGATAACTAATTTAATAAACGAGGATTTAAATGAATCAAGTAAAAAAGGTCGATTCAATAACGATTTGGGTGAATTAAATTTGTATGTGCATACTAACTGTATGACTGCATGTTCCGCAAATGATGTCGAAGATTTGAAAAAAATTGATTGATTAGATTTTTGGAAACAAAAACGACTTCAATTCTCGGTTTTGGCATGCATCACACGCGATATACTAATAATCCAAGCTATTACCGTAGCTTCATAATCTGTTTTTTCTCTTAGTGGCAAAACCATTTCCATACGTCAGACAAGACTAAACCCGGAGTCTACGGAGTGTTGCATTTGTTTGAAAGATTATTTGGATAGCATTGATATAATTCAACATACAACATCGTTAGAGATGGAGATTGAAGCGGTGGAAGAAAATTTGGAAGAAAATGAAATAGTCATGGGACTAAACACGCCACCAACCACCGATACCAACGGCACTTACTCACAATATGACGATGATGAGGAATTCGGCATTGGTGACCTTGATGACCAAGAGGCTATTAGAAAAATTCAAGACACCGAAACTCTTCAAATTAATCCGACATGGGATACCGATGAATATTGATGAATAAATGTTTTTCAAATAATTTTATAATAAATTTTTGTAAGACAATGTAATTTTGTTTATAACAAAACGCATTTTTAAAGTGTATTTGCATGACCGTACGACAAATTTTATAATGTATTAAAAATATATATCATTAAAATTTTTTAAAAAAATAGGCAGTATTGGGACCGGGACCGGGACCAGCGGCCCATAACCGGATGTCAAAGAGCTTGACTAGTCTTCACATTTTCGACCGGGACCACGATCGGTTACGTTAGGAGCGGTTATGGCCAGTTTTGAAATAGTGTAGGACCGGTTTTTTACCGTCACTACTTACACCCTAATGTAAGAATATGTTGACATGTTAATTTTGTATGTGAATATTATGTTATATTATTATATGAAGGTTGTCCGAGAGAACCAACCCAAATCCGGTTACGACCGTTTGTTTCATCTCTAATGGAAAATTAGAATGAACATAAACTTACCACCACATAATTAAATTCAGAACGTGATTTTTATTTTATTACACGACGTGTTCTAGTATTAAAGTTTGCTACAGAAGATGCTTTGAATTCATCATGACCAAATACATAGATTCAAATAATTATATTTTTAATTAATATAATAAATCCTGTCATAAGGATATCGTTAATTAAATTATTAATTTATAATAATAATAATAATAATAATAATAATAATAATAATAATAATAATAATAATAATAATAATAATAATAATAAGCATTAACGAATGGGTTATAAAATTTTGTTAACACAAAAGAAGCAGCATCATGTATCCAAAAACACTCAACCCCATCCATGTTCGCAACAAACATCAACTGCATAATCTGCTCAACAAGTGTAGTGTTATTACTACTATGTCTAGAGTCTAATAAGTTCGAACACCAATATCTCAGAATGGGAAGCCAAACTAGCCTATTCCGAAAAACCCATTACATACTTTCACTTCAATTTAAAAGGAAAACCTTCAAATTTTTGTTCATACCTTCCTTCCTTCCTTATCTTTGGTTGTCTCTTGGGATGTTTAGATCCTTAAAGACCGGGCTGTCGACTCCAACTCCCATTGCATTCAGACCATTGTCTACATACAAGACTGTTCCCGTGATGGCTGAAGCCAAAGGCGATGCCAGAAAAGCAGCAGCATTTCCCACCTCCTCTGTTTACATCCATTTTCATCACGTTATTAGTAGTATGAAAAGAAAATAAAACACACACTCACTCACTCACTCAAATACCCAATGAGCAATATATGCAAGAAGACCAACAGTCGTATACGATGAGAGATTCGTGATGATAAATGGGTCCTTTAGTAGCATAGCAGAGTACAGTGCCAGTCACATATGATGAGTATTCCACTTTTTTAGTTAGAGTCCCCCTTTTAGGGATAATACGATAGTTGACCWCAAGTCTTTCTGTTGGGCGCGGTCTCATAGTTAGGAGACTACCTAGCTGAGGTAGTAAGTGGTTGGGCTATGGTACGGCGACTGCTTGTTAAGAGAGACTAGCCACTAAGCCACGGCTGAAACAGCCGGGTCGAATTATTCAAACGGGCCACAGACTCTTCTAAGCCGAGACCCCTTCTAAAAAAGGTATGAACACGACAGCCCTTACAAAAACCAATGCTTTCCGGGTCATATTTCTTGTTTGGATGTTCCATAGCATGTTCCTGATCGCGAGTAAATATTTTTTAAGAATTGAGAAGATCAAAAAGCTGCTCTAACCGAAGCCATTGCCCTATTTGTTTGCCTTTCTGATCTTATTCGTCTTCTAGAAACATCACTCTATTCTCTCTTATGGAAACATCTATTGGTATTGGAACCCCTTTTCGACAAATGAACACTTCTTATTGAAAGTAGAGATGCGGAAAGAGCGACTTAATGAATAGTATGATCAGTTAGCAAGTCCTATTCAATCACCCGGCCTCCCTTGTCACGTATTTGGATCCCCTYCGGTGCATTGTGCTTCACTTCTTTCATTTAGCTACTCTTCATTTTTTTACCCTATGAGGTCGGACAACCACTACATTTCTTGATCGGTTGCTGCCTACATTACTCTTTCTCCCCTCAGACCATATGTAGTTCTTGGTCATTTGTATACTAGTGCTTTTGTGGTTCTTCACTCCAGCCCTTAAGTATTCTGTTCAAAAACCTCATCCTCATTAAAAAAACAAAGAAAATCAGACTTGGAACCGACGGAATAGTAGGTATAAAGTAAATTGCCCAATGTTTCCAAATTAGTATGTTTACCTTTACTATTTTGGTATTTCATCGATTATCAAAAGCCAAATCGGGGGAACCCACAAGMAGAACATGGAATCTCGTATCTGGTACTCCTATGCTCCATTTATTTCATGGCGGGGAAGGCCACCATCGCACTCAGCAATCTTTGTTTGTACCCCATAGCCGGACAACTCACTTGTATCTCCTCTCCAGCCAGTTATTGATGGCTTGGTAGGAATGGAAGGGTRGAAGACCTTATTCGAACGGACGGACATAATTTGCTACCTTTTCATCTGTTTGCCTTTTGTGAATCAAACTATCTCGATCTGGAGRGAAAAAGTCTTCCTGACACTGTATCTTACCTATCGTTCGTTATTCACCGACTGGCCCTTATCTAGCATATTCAATCGGAAGCAATCATTCTACAATGCTGAGACCTACTCATTGGACCTACCTATTCGCTATGGACGCTCGATGGTTTTCCTAGTGCACTATCGTCGAGAAAAATCTCCCCTCTCCATAGTTCTATGATGCCCAAGATGGAAAATTGGTCATTTAGGCTATATTTGACAAACTAGCTCATAAGCAAACTATTGACTTATAAACAGGTTGTTAGCTGAAAAACTAGTTGTTGATTAATAAGTTAGCTAGCTGTTAGCTAATACTCCCTCTGTCCCAAAATAAAGGTCCACATTTCTATTTTAGTTTGTCCCAAAATAAGTGTTCACTTTACCATTCTACCCTTATGGGATGGAGAAAATCTCTCTCTCTCTCTCTCTGTGTATTATTAAGGGTAAAATTGTCTTTTAGTTGATTAAAAAGTGTAATAATTACATATTCCCAAATCTGTGTGCCATTTTTGTTGTGGGCATTTATTCTCGGACAGAGGGAATAAACTAGTTGGACACAAAGTAACTTAATCGTGTGAATGTACAATCTCACAAGTGTAATTAGTTTTACAACATAATAAGGATCACCCTAATGCACCAAGGCTGAAGGTTTTTATGCTTCAGGAAGTCCTCTATGCATTGTACAAAGAGACTGCTAAGCCTGAGAATTGATCAAAAAAGATAAAAAAAATTAGAGGATCTCTGAAGATTTTGGTTACTTCGATTCATAGAGAAATTACCAAGATGGTATCAGTGAATCTCTACAATCCTTAGGTTGTATGTTCAAGTCTATTGGGAGACATAGTGTTGATCATTTCCAACAAATCGAGGGGAATAAAGTTACCTTCTTTTTTCCTTACAGCTTTTCACTTTCCAAGTTTTAGGGAGGTAGAAAGACTCCATCCAGATGGGTTTTAGGTTTAGGACACTTTCTAGATCCTCGAAACAAAACATCAAAGGGATGAGAGTCTTTTTCTGTCATTCAAGTGAAATTAACCATCGTGTTGGCAGAGAATTAGGAGAGGTAGCTAATTGCTACAATTTACTATAATATAAAATAGTTTCAGGAAGAATTTGACAAAGTTGGTCGAGATAATTAGGTTTCTAGATCATAAAAAAATCAGTCACACCCCGACAAAGTTATGAAGGAAGATTGACACTCACCTGCAGATAGTTCTTTCTGCAAGGGTGCATTCTCTGATGAATAATCAATCATCATATCAATGAAACCAATGGCTTTAGCAGCACGGCTCCCCAATGGTCCTGGAAGAACAAAATCAAGAACGATATATAATATTCAAATAGTGTTTTGCATTTAGCATATGATGATGAACAAGAACCACAGGTATATATAAAGACGGAAAGATTGCAATAAAGTTGCAACTTGCAAGTGTGATTTGTATTACCTGCAGATATGGTGTTCACTCTGATTCTATGTTTTCTTCCAGCTTCAAAAGCCAATACCTGTAAGTATCAGCCAATCAGGTTAATAGAAGCCTATAGAACACACCATCAAGAAAGGATCAAGAAAACACTAACCTTTGTGTCGCTCTCCAGAGCAGCCTTGGCTGAACTCATACCTCCACCATATCTGTGTATTAAAGGGTACGATTAGCAGCGGTCTCTTTGAATGGTATGAAAAAGCCAAGCTCCAAATGGGCAAATAAAAACAATAAAATACTCTGTTGGTCTAGGGTTGAACACAAAAGGGAATTTACCCTGGTATGATCCTTTCAGCCGCAATGTAGGTCAGAGAAATTGAAGCACCACCTGGAACAAGAAAGATATCGACTTTGCTGATAAAACTGCTCTATAGATGTTACAAGAAATAATTTTTTGAATTTATTGGGACGAAGAAAAATGTACCCGGGTTCATTATTGGGACAAAATGCTTTAGCAAAGATACATAAGAGTAGCTGGATGCAGAGATGGCCGCAAGATACCCATACCTTGATGTTTCCAAGAGAGGTTTGCTAACCTGCATGCCATGCTTAATTAGTATCTCTATTTTTAGAAAGCCTCTTAAGTTGAAATGTCAATTACTCGACATTTTGCTTCAAGATATTATATAGATTACTCGACATTTTGCTTCTAATTTCAATTAAAAAATCAGATGGGACAATGCTTGGTGAATTTCTTCGTAATTGCGTCAAATTAGTCATGGAGATTTCAGTTTGGTATAGGTAGTGGAAAGTTGTGGTCCAGCTGCCCATTGACATTAGTTTTGCTAAGTCCATAGTTCTCGTCTTTAGTTTTTAACTGCTCAGTTTGTTGTCTTGTATTCAGTTTCTTTGATTTCACTCAAACTTAATAAATCTTTTTGACGGTTCCGAAAAGAAAATCTGTGTGTAGACTTCGTTAGGTACTATCTATTAGTTTTATATCTCAAAACATCTCATCTTGTACTAACATATTTCTGCTTCAAGCAATGCTATAAAACGTTCACGGATCATATGGACCTTTGTCTTTACCTTTTTCCTCGTTATCAATCTTCCAAAATATCTTTTCTGTTTTAAGAAAAATTGAGACCATAAATTTCTATTGGTTTGAGTTTATTTGTTGCATTTGTCATATATAAATATTATATACTTCAAAAAAAAATTCTATTGGAGAACATTGGTGAGCAAATTAGGAGCATCAAGCAATTGATCTATGTGACATGTACTTGGAAGTACCACGAATAACATCACGTAATAATACACAAAAATACCTCAGGTCCATTGGCTAGTGAATGCACAAGAATGTCAATGCTACCAAAGTCCTCTTTCACAGATTCAGCAACTTCCTGCAGAACATCATGGAGTCTGCTTATTCGAAGTTTCAATATGCAATCTTGAAGCTGATTTTTTAGAATTTTCTTAATCCCAATATCCACATATAACTCATCTGGACCCATGTACCCTTATGCCTCCAAGTTCCAACATAGAGCATATTTATACTTTTGCCATCACACTCCTTGTGATATTCACTCAGCCGCGAGACATTATTTGCATCTCAAGTGCATACTGATTATGTTATGAATGGATTCTTCAAATTTCCAGATGATTCACTTTGAGAAGTGGTGGTGGTCACACTGAAGGGGTGATGATTTAGGAATGCATACCTTAACAGTCCACTTTGAGGATCCTGCATAACGTTTATTTGATTGTACCTGCATAATTCAGCATTATTATAGGATGTATATGTGTATGTGTGTGTGTATATATATGTATATATATATATATATATATATATATATGACACTTGTATATATGTATATAAGGCCCTTGGCCTAGCTGTATACGGTAACTCAACCTTCCTAGAGGTAAAGGGTTCCAACCTCCCCAAAGGTGGGGAGAGTGTGTGAGTTTCATTTGCCATATATAAATATTATGTACTTCAAAAATAAAAACTGTGGCAACATTCTTCATTACAAATTAAACCTACATCTTCAGGAACATCTTCAGGAGTGTCATAAACGGCATCCAAGGGATACACTTTAGTGATTTCCATCAAAGACCCATCTGGCAGCCTAAAACAACAAAATACACTCACTGATCAGTTGAGCATCACAACATTATCTTAGATTAACTTAATAATTGGTAGACTGTGGATACTTACACACGTGATTCATCAAACTTCCCCCTCCGAAGACTGGTCTCGAATATGTTGAGTGCCTACAAAAAACATTATCAACAAATAATTACATTTTAGGTAGCCTGGAAACTATTAATCAACAGGAAGAAGCCTCTGATGGAAATCAGATTGGCACTCATTTAATAAATGGCTGAGTGGGTGTGCCTCATATGGGTTGCTTGCGTGTTAAGATACGACTTTGCTTACTTTTCTTGTTTTAAAATTTGATTTTAAGGCTTCCATTACTTCCAAGGCAGAGAAATTGAACAGATTGCTTCAAATGCCAACAATTTACATATATATAATTTTGACGAATGTAAAGTAGGCACACCATGATCTGAAAACTTAAGCTCTCAACTTTTATTTTGTACCTCTCTTGTAATGTCCCAATATTTTTCTTCTTCGTACTTACTCATCTCCTCTGCTTTTGTCCATTGTACAGGTCCCCTGCTTGTTGTTTCTGCTATGCCTCCTCTCCTTCCTATTTGTTCTTATTCTTTTTCCTTTTTTGACTATAATTCTAGCATTTTTGTTTGAGCATGCCGTCCGTATGATATGCATTATCAATCTTGGTTATCCTAGTTACACCTTAAGTTTGCTATTTTATTTACATGCATACTCATTAACATAATTGCATTGGTGCAACTCATTTACACTCATTATAGTCAGATTATGATGGAGCATGCCATGCAAAATAAAAATGACATATACTTGCACACCATTTTTTAAAATTCAGAACTCACACACCCACTCGTATGCTGCCAAGCTCGTTGGTATAAATGATGTGATCCATTTCTAAGCACTACAAAAAGACTCTGATGCAACGCATAACTCAAGACTTATGCCTTAACATGGTTCCAATTGCTTTCATTTTCATGGAATCACTAACAAAAGTGATCAAATTATTTGTCCCAGCTTAGGACAGGGTGCCAGGGTATGTAAGAATACATGGTAAAATGAGTTAACATCCCAGAAAATGATATGATAAAAACTACTAACAGCTAGGTTCAGTTACTTACCGGAACCCATGTGCCAACAAGAATTTCAGCCCCAGCAGCAGCTAGAGATTTTGCTATTGCCCATCCATATCCATTATCGTCGGCTATGCCAGCAATGAATGCCCTCTTGCCTGCAAATACAAATAAAAAACCATTATCATGTTTGAACAGGATTTGCACTATCTTCTTGTCACAATTTTAGCTTCATTCATAAAAGCGTTGAGCAGGAAAACAAAGTACTCCTGGAATTTCTGCTTATTTTTGACATTAGCATTGCATAAACCAATATAAAAGGACTAGCCCAGAAATCTAACCTCTGAGATCAATGGGCAATCCTGGGAGGGGCTTTGTGTCATTGGACTCAGATATTGCTTTTGTGACCAGCCTATTAAATTTCACAGGACTGGATGCAATGTTTTGAGAAATTACATGTGTTGAAGAGATATGGCAAGAGCTCTTAAGCTTCGTCCATGATGCCTCTCTAATTCCACCGCTGAAAACTGCAACACTCGACTTTGAAACTTCACAGGAAGGAAAAGTGAAGGGTTTTGCTATAGCAACATGCATGTTTGAAGTAGCAGTTGCCATTTCACTAGAGGTTTATCGCGAAACTGCAGTCATGCAAGAAATGAGAATCTATTAACACGGATCAAAAAAAGCATTGAAACAATTAGCTATTTCTCAATTTGTCAGCAAGACATGCTCCTTGATAATTGAATCATAATGTTTGTTTTACTCCCTCCACCCCCAATCCCTAAAAAGAACTAGAATAAAATTATGGGTTGTCCCCAGAAAATGTAATTTTCCTTTTTTAAAAGAATTTCAATCCAAAATTTACCCATTTGCCTCTTAACAACCATTAGAAAACATTAGCGAGATTGATTGTTTTCAACAACTTCTCTCAATTTTTGTGTTTTTAGGTATTTGATTGCTGATCAAAGACTGAACATTGCATTTTTTTTCCAACAAAGGTAGTAATTATTAAGTTCTGAATACTAATACCCGACCCTACTTCTTACCATCATCCATGTAAGACGTTGCTCTTCTAATGATGGTGAGCATAGAATTGCAAAATAAAAGGGCAAATATTCATGCATATACTTGCTATGAAAAAACCACAAATCCAGTGAGATTTGGGATCCCCTTTTCAAGTTCACAAAATTTATCGTTAGTGATGCATGTTTCTCTGAATTTGAACAAATTCATTTTGATTTTAAAGTAGAATGTTGATCCTCCATTTGCCACACGAGTTGAACAAGGCTCACGAAGGAAACTCAATTACTTGGATTTAAATACAAGGAAGGCCTTGGATTCTGGTAGTTGAGGTTTCCTCCTACCCGAGGGCTTCATTGTTGCTGTTTTAGCGTTTTAGTGTTTTATCTTGATCTGGAGGGTCTCCCCTCTCTATCAAAAATACAAGGAAGGCCTATGAGAAACATGAAAACATAAACAACAGCTGAAAATGAAACCTTAAAACCCAAAACAATGTGAGATCATGAAACAAAACCAACACAATTCTTCAATGTTCAGTTAAACCATAAAACCCCACAACAATAAAGGTGATCTTAGATCAAGGTAACAATAATAATCCACAAGAATTAAAGTAAAACTACCATCAATACCAAAAAAGAGAGGAAGAAAGAACGAATGTAGTTTGATCAATGCACTAAATCTCACTGACCTATCCGATCGGCCAGACGTTGAACAATCTCTGTAGCTCCTACTCCCACCTTCGTCTGCCTATGAAGATGTATATATATGGTTAGATGCTTAATAGGTTTCGATACAAACTAAGCTGCCTTCCTTAGCTGTCTTTGTGGGTGCCGTTGGAAAGCTTTGGAAGTACCGAAACAACTGAGTTTTGGCACTTAGTGTAAGAAATTGCAACAATAGACCAGGATTGCCCCAATGGGTCTCTGGGGCTGGGCTATACAATCGTAATCATTCATGAATTTGCCATTTTGATATATATATTTATTTTGCTTCAAAAAGTTCTGCTTTGAATTCGTTGATTTGAGATTCAAAACCGGGGAGTAATAAGCCCAAATCTTGTTTCGAGGGTGGCCCCAAAAGGCTCGGGCCTAACAAGCTCGAACTCTAGTCTCAGTCAGACTTCTATGTCTGATCTGATGATAAGGACAAAAATAATTATCTTGAAAAAATCGAATCAAAAAAAATTATCAAAAGAAATTTTGGTATTTCAAATTCACTTGATTTGCCTACGGTGGGTAGCTCCATTGGTAAAGGTATGGGATGAGCCCAGAAACAATACGAGTCTCGGGTTTTTTTTCGGGCTCCTTGGCTAACCTCAGTCGTTGAGTGACATTTGTTTTCTTGAAGGCGGGCGGGTTTCAGGTAGGATCAGTTGGGGTTGACAATAACCAATTTATTTGTTCAAATTCACTTGATTTGATTAATCAAATATTCTTGCACATAAATTGTTACTTAACTTAAATCTCGATATGTAATTGGTTGCAGACGCTTTGGTTGCATTCGTTTAAAGATTTATTAATCCCGGAAATAGTCATATTTTAATCTAAATTACGAAATAAATTAATTATAGCAATAACTTTTAGGAAATATTAACTTTTCCATTAGAATTATACTTAGCGGCCGTTTACCCAAATGTTTATCCGGTAAGCGTTTATTGACAGAAATTAACATTATAACTTATTTTGATGCGTAAGATTTTAGTACATCAAAACATATCGAATGCAATAATTTACTGTGTAAGCGCTTACCTGGGTAAGAGTCGGCATCCTCATTTACTGGGTACGACTCTCTATCCTTTTCATCGCTCTTATCCGGTAAGATTCTTGGTCTTTCTCATGTTCATCCGATGAGAAAATTTATCCGATAAGCATTTACCAAATAAGTGTTCAGTAAACGGCTCCTTAATTGAGAAGAAGATAAGGAACCGTGTTTTAAAACTAACGTTCATGGTAAAAAAGACAAATGTTTTTTAATGGGTGTAATATTACCATGTTAGAACGATCAAAAAGACGTCATATTTTGATATTTATTGACGTCTGTAAGTAGTACAAACATCAATAATGAGCGAAATGTTAGACCTTAGAAAATTAGTGAGCAATGGTTTTTTTAGAGGAAGTATTTGGATTGTCTCCGAGTAAATTTTAAATGATACCTATATAAACTGCAATAGGGTCGAAATATTAGTTACACACATTAATTCCATTCATGATCCACATATGATCCAAATTCTTACTATATTGATATAATTTATACTCTATATGGAACCTATAATAAATGTAAAATAATTTTTTCACCAATCCAACTACCACACATACACGTTATGCCTCTTACTAAGCAAATAGGAGTACCAATTCATTGGCTATGTTTTTGGATCAAATTAGAGCAGTTGGTACAAGTGTAAATTGGCGGGATATTCCGACTATTCACGTAGATGATTTTGAAAATCGGTTGTTAATTAGAATAAAAATAATAAAATAGATAAAAATTGTTTATTTAATAAGGTAAAATATAATGAATTCACCCTTTTATCTATTATTATTCTTGGTCTCTTTAATGATGAAAAAAAATACAACGTTAAATGATTGAATTACAAGTCATGGCTCATGGCATTGGCAGCACAGTTACATAACATAATAACCTTGAAAGTCGCAAATAGTTTAGGTTGGGTGGGTGGGTGGATGGGAGGATTTTGTTCACCAAAGAATTGGAGAAAAAAATTAGAAAGAATCCCACGAACCAAAATTCAATTTAAGTATATAATATTTTATAAACTGGATTATGGATTTGACTCTAAACTCGAGAAATTATGTGTTTAGTCTTAATGGTTGTCAAAAAACTTATGACTAAGGTCCCTCTATCTAACTCTGTTAACTCTTGATATCTAGAGTCTTTTTTACTCTTTTCTCTTATTTTTTGTTATAAAAAATCTATTGAATCTTCATATTCTTCATGGAAAAGGATGAAAACCCTAAATTTAAATTCAAAATCATAAACATAAATCAAACTCAAACAAAACCTAAATTGCAAGCATAAATCAACGTAGATAAAATTCCTAAATCAAATCTTAAAATGATCCTGAAACACTAAATCAAATCTTAAAGCAATCCTAAATCAAAGGACAATATACTGATTGAAGGAAAAAAAAACCCTTGGATCTATGGGTTGTAGGTGGGGGAGGTGGATAAAGGGGGTTGGAGGTTGAGAGGCATTGGAGATCGGGTTGCAGGTTTAGAATGTGAAGAGTACATATGTATTCAGTGGAGAAGGAAACCGAGGAAGAGACAGAGAGAAAAAGAGAGAGAAGTTCTAGGTGAAAGTAGGGGACACGGGAGATTTAGCAGTGGAGGATGTTGGAATTGAAGGCCTGCAATGGGAGGGGTCCAACAATTGGAACTACGGGAGGTGTTAAAAGATATTTTGATATCCAATCTTGACTAACTTAACTTTGTTTGTACTTGTTTGATAACAGGTTAACAAGTTGGGGTAGAAAATGTCATTTGTTACAAAGTTGTTTTTTGGGTAAATAGAAGGAGGACTGCGCCTCATATGTGGGAGTTTCTCAAGGGTAGCAGAGTCAGTTTTCATATTCTTCAAGGACTAAAAGTGTTATTCATGAAAAATATATAAAGCCTCTCTCTTTCTCATAGCCGGTTAATAATTCATTTTCAAATCTTTTAGCTAACTTTTCAGCTCTCCTTTCTCTCTGTATTCTCTCTATATTTTAAACTGTTCTCTAGATTATTCTTGATACTTTATTAGATATAGTTGTCTCAAAGTGTTGTTATAGTTCATCATCTGTTATATGTTTGAAATAAAAGTAATCTTCATTAATGTTTAAGATTTTAACATAGCATCAGAGCGTATCAGGTACGTTTTCTTTCAATAATCTCTTTGTTACACTTTCATTAATCTCTTTAATCAAACAGATGAATGGTTTGAGTTCCTTGGTTTACGAGTTCGCAAGATCTCGATTACCAGATCTCACTGTGATGTTTGGTCTACCTTTGATTCTGGTTCTCATGTAAGACCGTATGTTCGTTTGAGCGTAAGCAGATCTGTTTCCCTTTTTCTAGATCTGTTCTTGTTGTTCTCTATGTTTCCAGATCTGTTTTGTTTGTCTTTTTACATGAGTAATATGGCCGATCGGGTTTGAACCAAGAGATCATTTGGGTTTTCCTTTTTGGTCCCCTTTCAAGATTAGTTTTGTTCTCTCTTTGTTTGCATGTTTACTTCTTTAGATCTGGTCTGTCTTTTTGTTAAAAAAAATGTATGTTATCTGAGTTCTTTTTTGTTCTTGGCTTATATTGTTCATTGATCGATCGGGATTGTGTCCTTATTAGATCTTTTCGATCTATTGTGGCCCCCTTCATGATTTCTCTCTTGTTGCTTGAATCGGTAACTGTTTAGCTGGGTTTGTTCAGGTTTAATATTTGTTCCTTTTTTTTTGGTCTAGATCTATGTCCTTCCAGATTTGACATTTGTTTAGTCAGATTCGTGTTACGATTGTTGGCATCTGCTTTATTTTCAAGTCAAGATCTGTGTCCTTCCAGATCTGGCATTTTTTTAGCTTAACTCTGTTTTGTATCTGTGTCAAGATCCGTGTTCTTCTAGATCTGGCATCTGCTTTATTGTTAATATTTGTTTTGTATCTGTGTCAAGATCCGTGTTCTTCCAGATCTGGCATTCTTTGTTTTTTGTTCCAGGTTTCAGTTATTTATGTTATCTGCAATCTGTTCTAATTGCAGGATATTGTTGATCTTGTTCCCATTACTGTTCTATCTGTTATCTGGTTTGTTTGCAGGTTATTGTTGTTTCTTCCTTTAACTTTTTGTTAAAGGAATCTGTGGTAAGTTCTTTTGTGTGTTTCTTTTTTGTTTTTTCTCCTTTGTTTGGGAATCTGGAAAGTTGGCTTGACCTAGCACGATTACAGTGTTTTAGGAATCCTGCCTCTAAGCTTTTTAGTTCTTTCCTGTGTGTTCTTCTTTTCTCTCTATGGAATCTTCACCGATTAAACCTGTGAGTCTAGAGGAATCCAAAGTCACAAAACTAGACTTTGGAGATCCCCTATACTTACATCCTAGTGACACTAGTGGAAGCTCCATTTTGTCTTTTAGGTTGAATGGGACTGAAAATTATAGAGTATGGGTCTTGTGCTATGATATTAGCATTAGAAACTATTAGCTCTAATATTCACTTCTTGTAAAAGTATGAAAAAGTATTCTGCAAGTGTTGACAGAAGAGTATCTTCCACAGAAGACAACAGAGGACTAGC